CGGTTTGGCTTTGGGATAACAAATCATGTTTAATGAATTAATGAGTAAGTATATTCTCAGCGTGGCTTTGGGATAACAACATGTGTTTAATGAATTAATCAGTAAGTACAGCCTCAGTATGGCTTTGGCTTAACAAAGTGTGTTTAATGAATTAATGAGCAAGTACATTCTCAGTGTGGCTTTAGGATAACAAAGTGTGTTTAATGAATTAATGAGCAAGTACAGTCTCGGTTTGGCTTTGGGATAACAAATCATGTTTAATGAATTAATGAGCAAGTACATTCTCAGCATGGCTTTGGGATAACAAAGTGTGTTTAATGAATTAATGAGCAAGTACAGTCTCGGTTTGGCTTTGGGATAACAAATCATGTTTAATGAATTAATGAGCAAGTACATTCTCAGTGTGGCTTTAGGATAACAAAGTGTGTTTAATGAATTAATGAGCAAGTACAGTCTCGGTTTGGCTTTGGGATAACAAAGCATGTTTAATGAATTAATGAGCAAGTACATTCTCAGCATGGCTTTGGGATAACAAAGCGTGTTTAATGAATTAATCAGTAAATACAGTCTCCGTGTGGCTTTGGGCACTGAGTCCTCTCCCCACCGGATCATGGCATCCTGCTGCTACGTGGTGGCATGAGAACCTTTGGCCGATTTATGGCATATTTAATAATATTTGGATGTTTTTTTCTTTTCCCGATATGTTTTGTCTAATACTGACCTCTAGTGCAAAAATGGTGCCACTGCGGGGAAATCTTGCTGTAATTGAGAAATCAGTGCTCAGCATTTTTACTTGACAAGTTCTGCTTCTATGTTCTGCTAGACTTACAGGAGTATGGCAGGCTTGACTTACAAAAACATTTCCAGGTTACCTGTTGAGAAATTTGTCAGTCGAGGTGGAATTTGAATCCATCTTCTTGTTGACAGTAGTTGATGATAAACATGATTTTTTTTGCGCAAGTTTGTCACACATTTTGTTTGCTCCATATTAATCAAACAATTCACATTAAAGATCATTTAAAAGGAAGATGTTCTAAAAATGCCAGTTTCTGGAACAAAGCTTCCGTGACTTCTGGTAAATAAGACCAGAGCCCCCTGCTGATGACGGTGGAGCACAATGGCCCTGCACCCCTACAGGTGCTGGGGACCCTGTTCATCTACGTGCTGTTCATGGTGGAGGAGTTCCGCAAGGAGCCCGTGGAGAACATGGACGACATCATCTACTATGTGAACGGCACCTACCGGCTGCTGGAGTTCCTGGTGGCCCTGTTCGTCGTGGCCTACGGCGTCTCCGAGACGGTCTTCGGCGAGTGGACAGTCATGGGCTCCACCATCATCTTCGTCCACTCCTACTACAACGTGTGGCTGCGCGCGCAGCTGGGATGGCAGAGCTTCCTGCTGCGCAGAGATGCTGTCAGCAAGATAAGGAGCATGCCCATCGCCACCAATGAGCAGCTAGAGCAGCACAACGACATCTGTGCCATCTGCTACCAGGTGGGGGCGCCTGGGAGAGAAGGAGCATTTGGCTCCTGTTGGGTGTGCAGGTCAATCTGGGCCTGGCTACTTTAGGCTACACTTACATGGTTACTTGGCTACTTTTGTTGGTTGGGTCTGAATTCAGCGGCTGCATCCTACTAAAGCTCCATTCAAAGACCGAATGTGTCACGGCGGTGCCTCAAGGCTGTCCCATTTTGAAGTCTCCTTCAAATGCAGACTGGGAATGCATCCTTCTTTGTGAAGGATGCACCTGATAGGTCCTTCACAGCCCAACATATCCCAGGATTCATTGTGCGGACCGTAAGAGGACACAGCCCAAAAAGGTTACGCAGACTACGTTCTTCGAAGGATGCAGCCATTTAGTCTGCTTGCATTCCCTGGTGGTCACTAATTGCAGAACTGCAGTTGATTTCAGGTCTCAACTAGTCTGATGGTCAGCATGAATTGCACATAAGTTCTGTCGTCATACTGAAGGCCATGGGGCTTGTAAATAAGGTCTTTCGGTCTCCTTCCTAGGATATGACATCCGCCATCATCACCCCCTGCAACCATGTCTTCCATGCCGGCTGCCTGAAGAAGTGGCTGTATGTGCAGGAGACCTGCCCACTCTGCCACAATCAGCTGAAGGGCCTGCCCCCGCCTCCAGCGCCCCAGGACCCCCCACAACGTCCTCCTCTGCCACCAGCCAATCGCAACCTGTTGGAGGCAGGAATCCCTGATGCAGAGCTCTGCTCTCTTGACGTAGCAGAGTGTACAGCTCGAAGAAGCATGGGTTGCCCTGACCCTGACATGCTGACTGAGCAGACTGCTCCCTGCTGTGCAGAGGTTCCTCTCCTCATGCCCTGTGTCTTCTGCGCGAATCTCGACTGTGCCCAACCACACAGTGAGGGGAGTGGGAGGGAGCTGAGCCCGGTTCCCACAGGAGGCCGGGGGGAGGTGTGTAGTGGACTCTCCCTGCAATGCAGCCCCCCTGCTGTGCCAGACCAACCTATATCCCCCAGCAGTCTGGCTGTCACACTCACTGCAGAGCAGGAAGGCAGCAGGCTGAAATGAAGGACCAGGCCTCAGTGGGTCACATGCGCTCTCCTGTGTCACCGTGCCCATTGGCGATCTCCCTGCCCCGCCCACGTCGGCCCCACCCACATATACCATGCCCACGTAGGCCCCACCCGCATGGGCCCTGCCCCCATCAGCCCCACCCACATCTGCCATGCCCACATAGGCCCCGCCCACATCTGCCATGCCCACGTAGGCCCCGCCCACATCTGCCGTGCCCACGTAGGCCCCGCCTGCATGGGCCCTGCTCCCGTCAGCCCCGCCCACATCTGCCATGCCCATGTAGGCCCCGCCCACATCTGCCATGCCCACGTAGGCCCTGCCCGCATGGGCCCTGCTCCTGTCAGCCCCGCCCACATCTGCCATGCCCATGTAGGCCCCGCCCACATCTGCCATGCCCGCGTAGGCCCCGCCCGCATGGGCCCTGCCCCCGTCAGCCCCGCCCACATCTGCCATGCCCACGTAGGCCCCGCCCACATCTGCCATGCCCACGTAGGCCCCGCCCACATCTGCCATGCCCACGTAGGCCCCGCCCACATCTGCCATGCCCTGCCCTGCCAGCCTCCCTTCATGCCTGAGCATCCATGTGCCCTCTGACCCACAGCAACTGCTGATTAGTTACTGCCTGTTCCCAGCCTTCCCCCCGTTTCTGGGGCCCTCACCTTAACATTTCCTGCAGCCTCGTGGCGGCCCACCTCGTTATATTAACACCGTTGATGGCTGTCTCTAACTGTCTCTGACAAAGGAGGGTAGGAAAGATGATTAAACAGCTGACTGGATGTGATGGAGCGACCTTAGCTGTAGAGTGGATATGGCACTTATTGTACCTAAAAGCTTTAATCGCGCTTTGGCTAAGCTTTTGGCTAAGCACGCCCTCACTGCCTCATAACGGCTGTTTGATTCTCTTCTGGCTTGTGTTAGACATGATGCTGCGATTGCACTAATGTAGTCATAGCAATGCTCCTAGCAGTGTCTTGTCAGGGACCAGATCATTTTGGTTTCTATGCAGATAACTGGGCACAAATGCATATATCTCTTACACGCTTCTACAATAATTATGTTACTATGAGTAAAGTTACCTGACAGGTGCCTTTGGGGTCAATTTGGCCCCATGGAAGGGGTGAGAGAGATGTATGTACATATGCAAAGGTATTTTTGGTATTGTGCTGTGGTGATGATTTGCCAGCTCACGTGAAGTGGACAGGAGCTTGTGTGAACACTTTGGCGCCCTCTATAGATCAAAGTGGGAAGAGCTTCTGGCTGCGGATTGAGATTTTGGCAAAAGCAAAATAGCAAGACTGTATTAACTGGCACTATTACATGGCATTTATTGCATTTATGTGAATGAATACATTTATATAATGTACGAACAAAATCAGCAAATGCCATAAAAATGTTTTGTGCTAGATCGATGCTTCCACGGAAAACGGAATGTCTGACAACGTGTATGAACTTTATTCGTATGCTCATATGTTTTTGTGTGTTTTTGATGGTATTAATATTAAAAAATAAAATAATCTTTTTTTATTATAAAAACCAGAAACATGAGCTGCTGTTCCGCGAATGCTGAATTCTGGTCATACTGTGATATAATGATCCGTTAGAGAATTAACCCAGGGTCACATTTTTATCTTATAAAACTGAATGTTGAAATAACTGGAAAGAGATGTGTCATTGGTCTTTTGCTATCATAGACATCTTAGACTTTTTCTTGGAACTGTTTGGGTAAGATAGCTATTCATGATGGACATCACTTTAGAATAATTCGGATTTCAATACAATGCCTACAGTGTGTGTGCACGCGTGTGTGTGTGCGCGTGTCACATGTCCCCCAATGCGCTCGGATTGGCGGCCACCAGCTTCTCCCAAGGCCCCTTGCAGTATTTGAGGATGGAGTGCAGGAACGGGCTGCCACACGTCCTGTGTGTGATTCTATCGCCCTTTAGTGCTATCTGAAGTACAGGAAGAAAACGACCGCTTTCATATTGCCGAGGAGATATCCTCTTTGCCTTTCTGTCATTAGAGAATCCTAAAATCCTAAAAATACTCTTCTTGCTACCAGCAAACCTGTTTGGGTGTCCGTGGAGGTTTAAGGGGGCAAAACGACAAAATGGACCATAAATAAACCAGCAGCTTTGTACAAATCCTATTCCTGGATTTCTCTGTCGTGTACAGAGTTGCGATCAATTTGCGTTCAATACGGCCGCTTTCATCCGCTTTTCTGTAACAACACCTGATGGCGCTGTTGCATAACATTGGCGATGCTTCTCTTCGCCCAAACGAACCTTTGTATTACATATTCAGACTTTCTTTTACAACTCTACGTCTCAGTTAATTGCATATGGTTAGCAAAACATTAAAAAAATAAAGGATTGAATTATACAACCACCAGATTCGTTTCTAGTCCCTGTGGGATGAACGAGTTACTGTTTGAGGAGCGTGGTATAATAAATCTACTAACACAATATTGTGAAAAAAATACAAGCGCATTAAGGAAAGCCATTAAATTCTGCGCCTTTTTTATGCAGCGCAGAGTTTAAGGAATTCTTGGTGAAATACCAAAATAATACAATGGGTTTGCAACCACGGGCTCAAAACATTGATTTTTTTTTATTATTCTTTTTAATAATTTTATTGTTCAACTTGGATGCTCGTACTACACAAGCGCGAAGTTTCTGACTGTCCCGCGTGGAAAGGTTATGCTGGGGGGGTTCGCATCGTCCCTTATATCCGAAGGCGTGCTTGCGGAATGGCAGCATTTAAAAATCCCCCCAAAACACAACTGCGTTGAATCGTTTCGGATGCTGTTTATGCGTTTCCATTAGCGGTGCATTTGCCAGAACCAGACAGATAAAATCATAAGAGTAAGCCAATTTTAAATCCGGCCCTTATCTGACTTCATGTTTCAATGCACACGAGAGTGGTATTTATTGGAAGACATTTGTCAAAGGATCAGTGGAAAAAAACGATCGTTGGCCACAGCGAATAGCGCCTTATACACGTTATTTATTTAAACAACAGCTTGTTGGACATAAGGTGTATATATAAAAAAGTCATATCTTATTTTTGACATACGCCCTATTGTATGACAGGCTTCTTTTTACGATTCTTCAATTAATATAAGGTTATTACTGAAGCATCAACATAAACTTCGTGATTTATACAAGCATCTGTTTCTTTAATGAATTCCATATTTCGAGTAGAGATTAAAGAGGAGATGCTTAATTCAGAACAGCGTTATTTACAGACTTCATACAAAAACAATCCTCAGAAGAATAAAGAACACATTTATTTATGCAACGTCTGAAATTCGCTCTCTGAAAATCTTTCAAGAATATTTGTTTTATCCTTTTGTTTTATTGAAATTCCCCCACATTGTAACTATTACAAAAGCGGGAGATCGTTTTAAATGCTGGAAAAAAGCCAATACACAACAGTCGAAAATATGAAAGAATAGCCAGGGATGACATATTACTAAAACTAAACAAATTTCTTAAGGGCATCAGTAACTCAGATCAGTAGATCGCGCATTGAAATGGGGGATCCCGCATCAAATGCTGGAATGGGGAACTACGCCTTTAATTTGGGGGGATCGCTGAGTTTAATTTGCTCAAGAGACCCGCTAGTCAAGTACAGAAATTTATTATGCACACCTCAGTGAGCCGCTAATGTGGCCTCGCAGGAGCTGGTGTCTCCTGCAGCCTGACACGGGACAAGTTCAAGGAATAATGGATAACCGTGGGCCCGGCGCTGCGCTCTTTCCCGCTGTCTCCTCTGAGCGGTCGCCTTGCTTTCCTCTGCTCCCAATTTTCTCAGTCATTCAAGGGAGACCCTTGGCGAAGGGAGTACGGGGCTTATTAAGGAGAGACAATAGCTGACTGAAGTACAGCCTGTAAGTTCAAGTGGAGAGCGGTCAGTGTCAGCTCGCAGATGAAATGAAAGTGTGACTTTTTTTTTCTTCTTTTTGCAAAAATGCATTTTATCTCAGAGAATCAGGAAATCCATCACTGTTGGCGACAGCTTCATTTTTAACTCTGCTATCAAACTGCCATTCTGCTAATATCTTAATGGTGCGGTCAGAGTAAATGGATATGACGATAACCGCTGACTTACGATTAACATCCACACTCACTTATAGGGGGTAAAGGGTGATATTAAGGATTCCACCCCCCACAAATTTCGGGACTGATCTCATGTTTGCATTCGAACCGGCTCTCTCTAAAAGATCCCCTGCCCTTTTTTCAGGCAGCAGTGTAGGTCGTGTGGAGCTCTGAGCCCAAGTGAGTCTGCAGCCTCCGGCCCCTGTCATGCTTACAGCGTTAAATCATCAGGCCTGACTTGTCCGCAGATATCTTTGTTATTGAATTCTGGAGTCCTTTTAATAGCTACCGCATCTCCACCGGGGCTCTGCGGCGGCCCGCGGATATAAATACTGGCGGCCCGCCGGGGTTAGGTGGGCCTGCTGCCTGTCCGTCAGTCAGGGCCGGCAGCTCGCTGTTGAGAAGCAGGGGAAAATCAAATGGCCCCGCTGAAGGACAGCCGGGGAAGTCTGCTCCCGCCGCGGCTATGTTTGTGTGCGGGCAGATGCGAAACATTTATCTAACTGAATACTTTTCCATTCGCCGTCTTCTCTGACTTCTCATCTCCCTGCATGATGAACCATCTGTATCTTGCTCTTAGTCCATCATTAGTTCCCATTATATCTATTTCTGGCTTTTTTCAATTTGTTCACGATCCTGACACTGATTATCATACTCCAGATATACACACTTATACCAATAACTATATTTTTTGAGTTCTTTTTGTCTGTTCTGTATAACACGTAGGGGTGGTATTTCAAGATTTTAGGATTATTTAAAGAGAAAATGACAGAATACAATTAATTTGTAGTAGTAGTAATAATAATAATCATAATAATAATAATTTGGTTTTACACGTAGTGACTGGGGATCAATCCACTTTTTGTATCTTTTCGCTGTTTAAAACAATAAAATTTTGCAGTCTGAGGACGAAAATTACAAAATCATATCGTTTTGCTTTTATTGACAAACCAGTATATCGAAGGAACTGAAAGCCGGCGTCCGTCATTCTGCATCTGGCCGTAAATCTTCGCGCGAAAACGCCCGCGTATACAGGCTAACAAAACAAGTTATAAATGCATTTTATGGTGCTGTTTGCATAACAGCAGTGTAAGCAGCAGCAATGGCAGCAAACAAATAACGCAATGTAATAATATAATGGTTAATTCATAATAAAATAAATACATAAGGTCGTTTGGTGTCGCAACTAAGATGTATGTGCAGATCAGGAATAAAACAAACGGTCTGGAAAAGAATAATAATGAAAGGATGAAAAGCCAGAACAACATATTCTACTTTATTGGAATTTTAATCTAATAATTGAAATGTTGTTATTGTCGAGCATTTTTTTTGTTTTGAAATTCATTTGCTTTCTTAATTATGCGGGATATGTTTTTCAAGTAGAAAACATTAGGCGTTCATAAATTAGACTGAACAATTGACCAAATTAAACGAAGCAGCGCGGATGCTGGATGGTATTGCTTACAGGGAACCATTCCAAAGCTGGGCATTATATTCCTGAACCACATTAAAAGCACGTGTGAGTTTTGGTATCACAGGACTGTGCGCTGAAACGAAAAACTTATCCTTGAACCTTTAATTTTAATTTCCCTGTACAAAAGTACTTCCGTATTTATTGCTACACACATTCGATTTCATATTATTATCATTTTATTGACAGGAATTTATTAAGAAAAATCTGAAACATATAAACAAATATAGGGTACACAAAATAAACAACTCATTTTAAACTTTTCATCAGAAATGCAAAACTGGGTTCTTATATGAAATACTTGCACAAGGTCAGAATTTAAAAAATCTTGTGCCGGAGAATCGACACGGACAATGCAGGTTCTGTCCCTGCGGGTAGGGAAGGAAAGTGCAAGTTTGACATATCTTGTGATTGATTGCGGTTGCCCGTGTGAGGAGAAAGCTGAAGGAAGCGTAAAGCGCACATAGACACCAGGATCAATGTCTTTCCGTTTTTCATTTACTATCATTCAGTTCGAGTGGTTAAATACCATATAAAGTTCATCATCACCGACAGATATACGTTTCCCCGTTCCGTGTTATTATCTCAGTCAAAGAATAACAAATCCGTCGTCAGTCACCGTATTTTCGTTCCACAAATAGTTTCTAAAGGTGCTGGTCGTCTAAATGCCGATGAAACTCCAATAAAAGTCACAACATTTCAAATAACTGGGCGACTGTAATGTTTGTGTGCGCTATACGAATCGCCCTTCTGAATGATGCTAACTTATTTGTAGGTAAAATGTAAAAAACCCGAAGTCTTCATTAATTGATTTTGAAAGTTATATTCTACTCCTGATTTAAAATAGATATGAAATTCCGGCTTGTGATACAAAAGAATAACGATGTAAACCTGCAGAGAGTTTAAGGCGACAACCTGTCGATCATCAGACTAATGACATATCATTCAGGCAGACTCCCCCGCCCGGTCCGATGCGGTCGCCAGCTCATCCAAATCAATTTACGGGCTCAAACACAGGTACGGTCACGCTTTGTTTTAAGTTGAGCGGCTAATTTTCCAAGGATTTCGCGGGTTAAAAGAGATAAACGAGACGAGAAGCGACTGCCTTCTCTTGGGTCTGCTCCGGCTGAGATGCAGCCGCTGTGGACTAAATTTATTTAGAGAAATCACGTTAATTTGGAGCCTCCATACAACCCAGTGCAAGGTCTTTCTGGACTATAGTTTCTCGGCTGTCGTTAATAGTAAATTGCCCCAAAGCCGTGCGTTGCCTGTCGAGTAATATATTTGACATCTGGCTTTGAGGAGCCTCGCTCGGCGTTTTCTCGCTTGAAATCCTGCTGTTTGTTAAATGGAGGGGGAGGGCTCACACACGCAAGCGGGCCACGAGAGCCGTGGTTGGGCGGCTAGCAAAGCGGAGTCCGGGCTTGGCGCGGTTCGGGGGCGTCCCACACTCCGCGGCCACTCCCTCTTCCCTTTGGGGTTAGTGTGCCCGTGTTTAGCTCCCAGAGATAGTCAAATCGGATTCCTTAGGGAAGGGACACAAATCACTCCCATTTTAACAAGGGGAGCGACGCGGGATCTGCAGCCACAAGGGTCTACCTCCTCTCCTTGATTTTCCATTTCTCATTCATTTGATTTTAAGAGAAAGATCATTGGTGGGGAAAAAGAAAGAAGAAGAAGAAAAACTTGTCAGGGGATGATGACACTTGATCTGGCCCCGGCTGTGAGCTGTAGTTGATCCTATTGTTTCTTAAAGTCACTCCTGAGCTTTTGTTTTAACTGAGTCTTTTTAAGCGGACACAGCAAAGTCTCAAGTGAGCTAATAATCTTCGTCTGCTCTTCCATTCCTCACATTTTATTTCCGTTTTTCTCATTTGTGATGTTCTCGCACCATACACCTAAACCTGGATTCTGACAGACATCGCTTCATCCGATATTTCTTTTTGTACCGGTATTTTTCAAAGATTGACAAGTGAGCAGACTTACGGGCACTTGGACGGACTCTCCCCCGCAAGCGGAAAAACGCAAATCGTTTACTGGCGATCAGAAGGAACGGGGCCGGGGCGTATAAGAACAGCCAGAAAGAGTGACAGGAAAGAGAAGCTGTGTTCATGTTTGGGATTCAAGAGAGCATTCAAAGGAGTGGAAGTAGTATGAAAGAGGAGCCCATCGGATCCGGAATGAACGCGGTTCGGACATGGATGCAAGGAGCCGGGGTGCTAGATGCAAACACGGCCGCTCAGAGGTAAGCCTTCAGCATCCGCTGGTCCGGGGATGACTGCCACAGAACCCTCGGATCGTTCGCTGATTTTTTTCTTCGAGCGTTTTTTCTCAAGCAATGTTCCATTAAGAAAAAACATTATGAACCCGGTTTATTATTGTGATCTCATTTCTAATCTACTGTACTGCGTGTACTGCTGTGTTAACTTGCGACGATTCGGTGCGTGAATGGTAATTCTCCGTGGTTGGGGATGCTCCTTCCGCCGAGGTACCTTCGGACATTCAAATAAAGTATCTATTTTCCGGGAAACCTTTTATCGAATTTGTACAGATAGGAATTTAAAGCATCTGAAAATATTAAATCGTAAACTACATAAATATGAAGACGTAATGTGATTTTTAATTTGTAATAAAAAAAAATTGCTATTACAGATTAATTTCAATATAGCCTATTTCATATATCCTAGTTATACCGTTTGTACAGTGAGGAACATTTATTGGAATACATTTATAGAAATAAAATATTAAATACACAATGTTACATTTGAAAATGTCTCCACCATCAATATTTGTTCTCCGCCCGATCGCATTTGAAAAACTTAACGAGAGTAATTCATACGCGCAGAAACTTAAGACGGTTCTCATAGCTGCCTATAATTTTAATGTTTTCCGTCAGCGACATGAAAAGATTTATTTACTTCAGTTGTTACAAAGTTGCCTAAACATCCATTTGCCATTTTGAAACTGAAATTAAAATCGAGGTAATTACTGAGACCACGTAATTATGTTTGTACTTAACATGATTTGTAGCATTATTTTTGGTACTGATTTTAAATAAAACTACGTCGTCTTGTAGGCACAGTATGGGCCAGAGAAGGGCGGCCAGAATGAAACGCGGCGGTCCCTTTTTTTCTGCCAAAAAGTCCTGGATGCTCATAACTGACATTTCGGGCACAAAATGAAATAATACTATAGTGTCAGTATGACCCATGAGAGCCAGTGAACTTGTAAAAGCGAAGGTGACTATAAAGATTCATTTTCTCCACAAACAGCTTCAAACGACGTCCAGTTACACAGGCACTAGTATGACTGATTAAACATCTACATTATTAATCATGATTATAAAGAGCTTCTCATAATAATTTATATTGTTCTAAGTGCTGTTTTAACACCACTTCATCTCGCGTTTGTCGACAGCGGAGTTGGTCTTGCCCGCGCGCACTTCGAGAAGCAGCCGCCGTCGAACCTCCGAAAATCCAACTTCTTTCACTTCGTTTTGGCGCTTTACGACCGACAAGGACAGCCTGTGGAAATCGAAAGAACTTCTTTCGTTGGATTTGTTGAAAAAGAACGGGTGAGTTATGTAAGACTGCCAACGTTTCACAAATGCTTATGAGGGCAGATCAGATCTCGCTAATTTATTGTTTTTACATTGTGTAATAAACTGATGAGAAGCCCTCCTTTAATTTTTTTGAAGATATAATTGGTGCGCGTTCACTCCTACAGGGATATTCCTCTTATGTGCGATACTATTTCTTGTTAACAATAAAGAAATCAGTTTTCCTTTTTATACAAGCAAGTTTAACTACCGTCAATGAGTACTTCAATTCACCGCGTTTATTTTCTCCATATTTATTTATTAAATCTCGGCATTTTCATAATATTTGAAAGATTTCTTTACTCTTCGTTGGTTTAAACACAATCCAGAAATCTAACTGAGGAGATCCGTGTACTTGTCATCGGTTCCGAAGTCTCATTTTGATCAGTTTTACTACAGTATACCGAGTGTCATTTCTTGTTGACTTTGAATTGTATTTCCTTATCATGCGAGTGAATTACCTTTTCAATAAACAGTATTTTCATTCTCGCTGTTCTACCGATTCTCGTGTATTTCTACATTAAATCGGTTGCCTGTGATTTCGGCCAATTTCTCGGATTGTTAACTTTTTAATGGGCTAATCGTCCAACTGATATGAACAACCGCTAGCAATAAAGACGTAATTTGTTGGTCGTACCATACGCATATGCGCTCAATCACAGGCCCTGCACATAGAATTAGACTTTGGTGGGGGGGGCGCAGGATTTGCGTGCATTTGCCAGCTATTGTAATTTAGGTTGGCTTCAGTTCGGAAAAGGACAGCCTCTATAACTGAAGCATTTCGGGAATGAGGAAAGTTTTCCCCGTGAAGACATAAGACAGATGGGTTTAATTTGTTGAACTTGAAATGGAAATAATTACAGAAACCTCACTCGCTCACTCACTCACTCACATTTATTTATTAAATTGATGCTCATGGGTATTTATAGGCCTGCGTTATACACTGTTAAAATAATTTCATACTTTATTGAATTTTTATTTTTTAGTTCAGCACGTTTGCTCCACCTACGTCTAGGGGGCATGTAACCGTCTGCTCCCCGCAGGCCTTGGTGAAACTCCGTGAGCGCCCAGAGTTAAAATCAGGCGTCGTAACCTTTGTGTTTCCGTAGGAATCCAACGGCGAAAAGACAAACAATGGGATCCACTACCGACTACAACTTCTGTACAGCAACGGTGAGAGCAGCTTCCAGCACGGCTGGCCCGCGTCTCCAGCTCACTTGCAAGACCTAGTTGTTTTATGTGAGAAGAACATAGCAGGAAATTCACGCGGCGTATTTGCATAACCTTCTACAGAAATAAAATCACCCGAAGACAGGTGCGAATTAATCATACAGTTTACGCAGTTTGCATAACACATTAATGGAAATGTCATGCAGGATGTTAACTGTTGTCAAGATTATTGTATACTGTAGGTCTATGCAATTGTGATTTATTATGGCCGAAATGCCTATAATAGGGTATAAAATTAATGATGGTAAAATAGTTTTAGTGTTCATTTTTATTTTCGCGATCACAAAAATAACGGTATTAGTAGGCTTAATGGCATACTAAAAGTCATCGGAATTACCATATCCTACTTGAAATGGCTTCATATAATAAGACTAATAGACTGTTTTGTTATTTGCATTTCATTATTTCCGTAATTTTTCGATCTCTTTATTAAAACCACGATGGTGACGTCTGTATATTTAATAGCAGCAGCAACAACAGCAAAAACAACAACAACAATAAAAAATAATAACAATGACAACAACAAAACAACAACAATAATAATGATATTAATAATAACTGCGGCCCCTAATAAACTCGAATGAACAGATGCTGATTTTCAGCCGTTTCCTTTTTATTCATGGGTTAGCGATTATCTGTAAAAAAGCACGTTAAGGAAGGGGTCGTAGGCGACGATATTTCTTCTTGAATCCTGAAATTTAACGCGCGTTGTCTTAGCCTTCTCCTTTCATACCCTGAATTACCGTTGCAATGCGTTATCCATATTAAGTCGAGGTTTTTAATGAATGGCTCGCTTTCTCCACTTTTAAAATTTAAGTATGACCTTATACTTTAAGGAGAATCCTTTGCGTATATTTTATGTTTACATTCCTCTGTGACGAAAACAGAGATTTCAGTATTACAAGGTTTTAACTATTTTAATTGGATTTAGTCTTTGATGTTGCGCGCTATTTACTTTATAAAGCATTTGAGATGCCAGTGAAAATAATGTAGTGTATATGGGGAGAAACTGCTTTGAATACTATGGAGATTAATATGAATTAACAATTGCATTAGCTTACACAATTTGGGCAGGTAAGCTTCTGCAGATAAATAATAAAGAAATAAACTAGCAAATGCAGGGTCCGACTCCATGATAATCTGAGGGTATGATGATCGGTGAGCAATGCGGTATGCAGTCTGTCAGGGGTGAGCGGACCAGGGGAAGACTTCCATAAACGAGCTACGCTTTCACATAAAACCAAAAGAGAAAAACGAGAAGTAAAACAACATATACCGAGAGAGGAGCGTGTGTCACTTCTGCACAATGAACAAAATCATTCAACCAAGTGAGGCTATCATTAACATTCTAAGTGAGGGGCACTTTGTAACGTCAATGTAGCGAGCATAGCAGGAGAGCAGACGGGGGGGGGGGGGTGGGGGTAGCGGGACTCACAGGACCCTGTGTGTGCTGTCAGGATCCTCCCTAGCTGAGCGCTTCACGCTGCCTTTCGGTTATCTGAGCCACTCTAAATCTCCCCCTAATCTCTGCTTTCCTGCAGGTATCAGGACAGAGCAAGATTTCTATGTGCGACTGATCGACTCCATGACCAAGCAGGTAAGGTTTCTCTTTCTTTGAGGCCCCTCCCCGCCTGGTCCCCTTCCCACCTCAGACCCAGTCAGGAAGCAGAAAAGTTCATGCCACTCAGGGCAGAGTATTGAGGCTGTGCGCGGGGCTGTGCGCGGGGCTGTGTGCGGGGCTGTGCGCGGGGCTGTGTGCGGGGCTGTGTGCGGGGCTCTGGTATTTCTGTGTTCCTGTGAGTCTTCCTATGTGTTGGTATGTTTGTGTGCTGGTGTGGTGGCCAGTAAACCAAGCCCCCTGGGCATGTGGGTAGTGTCACATTCAGACATTCTCTGACTAGGGTAGCTGTGATACTCTGCGGTGCCTCGCACTATGCTTCTGACAGAAGGGCAGTATGCGGTATGTAGTATGCAGTATGCTTCTGACAGAAGGGCAGTATGCAGTATGTAGCATGCAGTATACTGACAGAAGGGCAGTATGCAGTATGTAGCATGTAGTATACTGACAGAAGGACGTATGCAGTATGCTTCTCACAGAAGCCTACTGTATACTATATACTCCATGCTGCTGCTGCTCTGGCAAGGGGGGACTGATGGGTGTTTTAGGAGTTTCATTGTTTTTTTGGGGGGTGGAGGGTGATCAAATTTCATATGAAGTGGCTTCTGTTTGGAGAGGAAAATATTATTGACGTCCCTATGGTGGGCTGGCTGAAGATGTGGAGTGAGGAGCTGGTCATGTCCATAAGGAGTGTGGAGCCCCCATCTGTAGTGACGGCGTGATCCGTTAGGGGCAAGGAGTGCCTCCCTTTTAAAAGCTTTCTGAAGTTTGCCATAGCTGAACCTTTACAGCAGACATCAGACCCACTCTTAGATGTGTGACTAATATGGGTTTTTAAGCCTGTTTTCAGTGCAGGGGTTTAGGGTCATTTTATTTCGCACTTATCCGTGGTCTTGTTTGATCAAAGGTGCAGGATGAGCTCCACACTCCTGTCTGTGTCACCAGCAGGAGGTCAGTAACTCGCATCCTTTTCCTGGGGGCTGTGTGAGAACTCAGGCTATCAGCCAGGGGTTTGTTAGACATGGTGCAGGGGGGTCGCCGGTCACAGGGTGTGAGGGGCTTGCAGCTGGGCTCAGAATGACCTAAACTCCGGTCTGCCCCCCCCTCTGCGGTGCTGGGAGGGTTGCATGTGGTCACGTCACTTGGCCTGGCAGTAATCACTGGGGGATGAGCGCTGTCGCCCTGATATGTGGGTTGGGCGTCATGAAAGGAGTATGGAAGTGAAGAGTAACGGAAAGATGCTAAATGTCAGTTTACCATTGCAGTATTTTTTTCATTAGTTAATTGCCTGGTAGTAAATTTTTTTCTAATAATTGTTGCAAATTTGAAAAAATATTACCCTGTAGGCTTTGCTTTGTGGCAGGTTGAGGCTGGTGTTTAAACCCTGCCAGATTAAGTACAGTATTAAGTAATAACCTGTGAATTTCTGCGATGGGCTGGCGCCCCTCCTGGGTTGTTCCCTGTCCTGTGATGGGCTGGCGCCCCTCCTTGGTTGTTCCCTGTCCTGTGATGGGCTGGCGCCCCTCCTTGGTTGTTCCCTGTCCTGT